CTAATGAAAATTTAATTTCACAAACCTTGCAAACTTTGTTGAATCAAGTGAGATCTTGTGAAGTGTGCATGTGACCTGCCTGATCGTGTTCTCTGCGTGACTTTCGGTCCGTGCGAATTGAATGCTTTAAACATTAAATTCGTGATTTCAAATTATGCTGCGCTTTATGCATTTGCCCACTGTCATATTCATGTCATTTTCACTGTGTGCTGTATGTAAAATGAGTGTTACCTTGGCTTTATTTAAAAAAAAAATATATATATATATGATTCCCAATGCACATAAACTTCCCAGAATGCTCTGTTGGTTAAAGTTTACTTTCTTTTTTAATTATATTTTTATTAAATATTTATTTGTGGAAAATACTTTGTCATCTAAAGTATAAGTATGTTTTATCTTACAAATTAATTTTTTTATCCATTTTCAAATGATTTCAAATTTCTTAAATATTAATTAAAATAAATACAATTATATCGGCTTTATATCGGCCACCCTGCTCTAAATATGATAAAACTAAAGACTCTTTCTTTGGAGAAATGAAGGATGCAATACTACTCTATAGGTACCCAAGATTAACATGAGATTGGGCGAAACTGTGTGTGTTATGGACAAGCTATTTTCTTTCATTATTTCAGGTTTGTCCAGCGTAGTCCGGTAACGTTGCTGAGCAGCACTATTATCGTCCACATTATCCAATGTGCCATCGCTGCCACCACCCTGGACCATCGAGATGCCAACTGCAGCGTCATGAAGTTCGTCAGAGACCTCATTCACACCGGGGTCACCAATGACGTAAGCGGCATGATGATCAAACTAAACCAACCAATCGAAAGACTTTCATTCCTGTTCAGTCATTGCATAAAACGTTTTTTCTTGTCTTTCAGCATGAGGATGACTTTGAGATTCGAAAGCGTCTGATTGGCCAGGTGATGGAGCAGCGTGGGCAGCAGCTAGTGACTCAGCTGATCAACACCTGCTGTTTCTGCCTGCCGCCTTACACTCTGCCTGATGTGGCGGAGGTACTCTGGGAGATCATGGTCTTTGATCGGCCGGTATGTTTGTACTCTTTTTGAACACTTTTTGAATGTCCCTCAAATACAGATTTACTTTTATGCATTGCAACCCTCTGCACACCTTGGCAATAGATTTGCCATTGGCTTGTACTTTTTTTTATTTTTTTTTTTACGTGTCACTCTTCGTACAGCTTTTTACGAAAACTACTTCTT